CCTTGCCATGGCTAAGGGCAAATGGGTGGAGTTGCTCTTACCAAGAAAATCTGGATTCACCACAACTAACACAACCAATTAACGTTTGACAGTTGACAGCTATACTCTCTTATAACCGACTAAGATGTTGAGCTTCTTGACTCTGTGAGGAGTGAGATGACTAGTCTGTTTAAACTGAGTAACCACAGAGGAGACATCAACTACACATACTTTACTTTCAGTCAGTCAACTATACACATACTTGCTTTACAGCCAAAAGCAAAAGAACAAAAAGAAGAGACGATAATAATAATTTACTTCTTATCTTTGTCTTTTCTAAAAGCCAATCACTTGCATCAAGAGAAAAAACATAGGATTAGGTGGTCATCATTAATCTTGTTTATTTGGCATGGGAGCTGATCAAGCATTGACTTTTGCATTTACTTAGGGAAGTTGCGGACATCCCCCTAGAGGATGCCATTTGTCACATTTTCCCTTAGCCCATGTGCCACGGCACACCAGCTTCTGTCCATTCCTCCTTCCCACAAATTGCAGTTTGAAAACATAAAAAGAAAATTAATCGACACAAGCACAACTATGATTGACAGGAAATTTTCAGAGGAGGAGGCAAGTATATTACTTTTCATATGCCTACAAAGGACGGGGCTATATATTATATATATCATGGTCTTTACTCACAAAACAATACAACAACATATGAAATTCCCTTCCTCTTACTAATTGCTAGAACTCCATGGCCTTACATGGGATGCTGATTCTAAGGTCACTCAGGTTGGCCGGAACGATATTTGTTTTAGCGACACTTGCAACAGCCACCGCTGCAGCAGCTCAAGCCCTGCCTGGATGCCCTGACTATTGTGGGGATCTGAAAGTTCCATACCCATTTGGGACAGTTGAAAGTTGTTACCTGGGAGAAAACTTTTTTATCAACTGTACTACTAAGAACAATACTACGACTAGTAACTTCACTCAAATCCCAACAGCATATCTGATGGGAAGTGATAACATTGTTACTAATATATCCCTTGACGGTGAATTGCAAATATTGCAGCGTGTGTCCCATGATTGTTTTTATAATGACAAAAAGGGTGTGATACACATCTCCCCCAACTCGGTCTCGTACACGCTCCAGGTTTCTCCTTTCACCATCTCGGACACCAGAAACAAGTTGGTTTCCATTGGTTGTGACACTTTTGCAATACTTGAAGGTTACCGGCAGGATGAAGAAAGGTACGAATCGGGGTGCCTGTCCTTATGTGGTAGGCCTTATAGCGTTCCCGAGTCTTGCTCTGGCATTGGGTGCTGCACAGCTTTCATCCCTAGTGGACTGAAAAATCATACTGTGACTGTGAGTAGATATAAAAATGATTCGTATGGAGACTGGCGCTGCAGCTACGCCTTCATTGTGGAAGAGAACTATTTCAAATTCTCCAATGCAAGTTTTCTAGAAATGGCGAAGGCAACAAAGCTTCCAATGGTTATTAACTGGGAAATCGGAGATCAGCCGTGTGCTGCAGCTGAGAAGAGCCACAATTTTTCATGCAAAGCAAATAGCAAATGTATCAACCGGACCAATTCATCTGGTTACTTCTGCATGTGCTTGCCAGGTTATGGAGGGAATCCATACCACCCAGATGGATGCCAAGGTAATCATGACCCCGTTTGAGATTGTTTTTTTGTTTTTTTTGTTTTTGGTTTTGTTTTGTGTTTTTTTTTCTCCAAAAGCCTGCTTCACTTTAAAGTTAAGCAATTTAAGGTGTTTAGCAAAAATAAAATATCTCAATTATTTTAAAAGCAATACATTTTGACAGCAACTTTTAAAGCAGGCTCTAGATTGTTTTTCAAAGCTGCTTTCAAAAAAAGCAGTGATGAGCCTTTGATCAATTTTTTTAATTCCCAAAATGCCATCATTAATTTTTAAAAATAACACTACCTCCACCTCCACATGCAACTCCACCACCACCGAATACCACTGCCGAAACCACCACCACATGCTCCTCCTCCTCCACTTCCACCACCTCCACTTCCACCTCCACCGCCAACACCACAACTACCACCACGCCGCCACCTCCACCTCCACAACTGCCATCCCCTCCACCATCACTA